TGATCAGAATGAACCGTCGTATCAGGGTTTCGTTAAAGTCCCCGGACAGGGAAAGCATAGAGTTTATTATTTTGAACAAAAATCCGCTAAGCAAACTAATGCAGAACTACGCAGATTATTTCGGCCTCGATCGCAAGAATCTCTACTTCCGTACCCGAGGCCTCTTGATTGTGGACACTGACACGGCCTATCTTCTGCATATCGACACTGGATCTACTATCGAAGTGACTAAAAGATATTAAAAACCACCGAAACTACAGACAGCAGCAAGAAAACCATTTCATAATATCGAAGGGACCGAAAATAATTAACGACAAGAACACGAGTAAGTCATATAGAATGTCAAAATTAAAAAATACCCAAGAAATGTTTATTCCTAGATTTTGTAACTATTAGCGCTATATGCTTCCATGTACACTAAACAATTCTTTGTGAACAACAACTGAGAATGTAATACTTCTTAACTTACAAATAATGGGAGTTAAAACATTGAAAAGAGCTGCCAAACACCACAGAGGATGAGTAAATGTAACCGCTCGATGGAAAGGTACTTGCAAATAATAATTAAATTAGCACGTGGCTTCCATAAAGGCGATCACGTCTGAATTCCTTGGCGGTGACGTAATGATTTTGAATACTTATACGGTAGCCGGGTCGGGAATTGGCTCGATCTCCCGGCACCACTATTACTGAAATTGCCGCTCCAAATCATTCCTCCTAACCGAAGAAGTGCCCGCCCAGGGAAGGAACATGCCTGGCCGATTTTCGCATTTTTGTTTTGTTTTTTTGGCCACTACCTGGCCGAAGTTGAGTGCCACCAATTATAATACGACATATAAAACAAGTAGGCCCTAACATTTTATAAAACTCCTCACTTTCATCGGGTGGAAGCGGGTTTTTAATTACGCTGTCAAGTTGAATGATGGTGGGGATGCGAGGGGGTTGCGTTTCGGCAGAGACCCGGCAGCGGGGAGGGGAGGCTAGGGGGCATGGAGACATCGAATGCCATAAGGACGCTGTGGTGGTAGCCATAGAACAAGGCGAGTTCATGCGGGCCATTGTCATAATATTGTCAGTAAATAAAGATTCCATTTGCCGGCTGCACCCAAATTTACATACTATCCGCACGGCCAGCGGTGGCCGTCCTAAAATTGGTTCGTTTCCAATTAGATTACACATTCGTTCGACGTCCGGTCCTGTCATTTACTGGAGCTGCAAGTTGGAACTGTCGGAAGAGCTATAAATTAAACGAATTTAAGAGGAAGCTTCGCTGCGAACTCTGCATATAATATTCATAACAACAATGGAAATGTTCAGCGGACGATAATCGATTTTTGCTTATTACGATCCAGGTACTCCTCGGCCCTTGGTCCTCGCCCTCCTGGCTGCGCACGCGCTCCCATCCGAGGAGTACGACTCCGAGTCCGAGTTGGAGTTGGAGCTGCCGCTCACGTCCTCTCGCCTGCTCCTTGGCCCACAAAAGCACGGAGGAGCGGACCCTTAATGAAGTAGTAAAACTCATTCATAAATGTATTAAACCTGCTGGGTATTTGCGGAGTCCTCTTGGCCAAATCGAGAGTCTGCGTCCGCTGTTCTAGCGTACAAATGACGAATAGAAGAACCCGCGAAGTCACCTCTTGGCAGCCATGAGGAATACACTGCACGTAAATCAGAGGTCTTTACAAAAATGGCATGCCACAACCAACATTTAGAGTGTTTTTTAAAACTAATCCAAGCTTCAATAAGTTATTATTATTGCTTACAATTTATTTGTATTATGAGAAAGTGCCAACAAATGTACAAGGTTTGCTTAGGCACCACAAACAAATTACAAACCAGGCATGATTTATATTCCTGTTGAAATATAAAGTTAAAAGCAATGCAATAAAAAACATATTTGTAAAATTACTTCTTACTATTTCCTGTATACTGATTTTGGGATAAAAGATCTTAACAATGAAAACATAGGAAATGTTATTTTTACGTAGCTCTTGTAGCTTAAAACCATGCTAAATTTTCTAACTGTGTAACTGAGTTCAGTACGGCCCGAAACATCTTGCAATCTGGCTTGAAAAGGCAGTCTGCCAATGCAGCAGCCTCGGTAAAACAGCCCAACTGCAGTTCTTCTCGATGCCGGACTCCTCCATCCTCCATTCGGCTCAGGGAGGCAACGCATGCCGGCCAACATTGCCGGCCAAAACGGTTTTGTTCTTGCCTTAACTTGGGCCTTTGGGTCTGGGCTTAGGCCCTTGGCCTGGGATCCGGCCCTTAGCACGGCTTAGTTTGCCACGAGCCTAACACACGCCGTTCGCGTCGACGCCGTTCCGACACTTGATTCTGCTGGCGGATCTTGGCCACGTTATGAACATTTACATTTATCTTGCCAATCAATTTAGTTTTGTTTGGACTTTTTAATTTCCTCTCTGCAAATGAAATCAATTTTGATGCGTGCATATGCAATTCGCGTTTCCTTCGAGACTATATCCGCGCGATGGTGTAGGCCCAAGCGGAAATGCCCTCGAGTGGATGCGAAGGACTTGTTATTATCTCGTCCGCACTTTCTAAAAAAAGGAATACACACGTGTGTAGTCAGCAAGGACTATCTTATTCGATTTGATTTCATTTAATTTAGTTAGTATTGGTTCAGGATCGTGTAGCGAAGCAAAGTTGAACAACCCTTATGTCCAAATATGCTAAGTAAGATCCATCTGCTTGAGGTCGCTTTTAAGGCACATGGAAAATTGGAACACTTATTCTAAATTATAAGCAAATTTTTCAATAAATCATAAGGGAGGCCATCAATCAGAATTTTTGCTCGAACCCTTACAGACATCGGATTGAACGTCGTTTGGCTAATAAATAATCTCAATGCTTAAATAATTTCTGATATTTCGGGGTCTGTGCAGCGTGTGTGCTATGGGAATTTTCGGCACAGCCGATCGGGCTATGTATATAGCATTCCTTTTTTTCGACTGGCCATCACACGCAAATTGACGATGCGTTGCGCTTCAATCTCATAAATTATTTTGGCAACGCATCACGCGAGTGTCCCAGTGGGATTTTACCTGATTTAGGCCGTATTCACAGGGCCCACCAAGCCAAGCCAAACCAAACCAAAGCAAAGCTAATGCCAACATGCTCGGCATGCCCACTTCGAGCCGACTTTGCGATTTTTGTGGGCGATGACTCTTGGTCTACCTCTTCGCTCTGTTTTTGTTTTGATCTTTGGCCCTTGCCCCGCAAATTGCCCTATTTTTTTATCGGGCACCGAGCAAAGTTCTCGGAAGAAAGAAACACCATATAATTTCGCTAATTAAATGGGGGAGCGTGTACCCACGCATTTCGGGAATTTTCGAAGGGGTATCTCTCAGCAAACGCATTTGAATTTTTGGCTCCTGATGTTTGATCACTCCCACCGCCATCCTTTTATTTTTCTCAAGTTAAAAATCGTGTCTGCCCCTTTACACAGACAAGTCATTTTTTGTTTTCAAAGGCGTTTTCCCACAGTGTTTTAGAACTGTCCGAATTATAGAATCAGTGTTGTGAATTGAATTTTATTGTATTTCAATGAATTAGATTAAGAGTTTAAAGAAAATGTTTTATTAACCTCTATCTCACTAAATAAAGGCTAAAATTTACTTTTATATAAAGTAAATATAACAAAACATAAAATGTTTTTTATCGAAATTATTTCACTTTCTTGCAAAAAGACATTTTTCAAATCGAGACAATAAGATGTCGACTTTTGTTGAAAAAAAAGATATATTGAATTTGAGAAGAAGTTTCCCCTCAATTTTTAGCTTTTCCGATATTCAACTGTTAATGGTATTGCCGGATATTGAGTTAAAATTCGCATGTTTTTAACAGAAAAATGAAAACACTTTTATATTTGTAGGTACACGAAACAATTACATAACCTTCAAGAAACCCTTTTAGAGTAAAGTTAAAGTTAAATTCAAAAACTGTGGTCTTTGCAGAATTTTAACCTATTCAATTTCATTCAATTTCATAAAAGTTTTAATGTTTGGATAGTAACGATAGAATATTTATTAATAAGAAGTACGGACGAGCAACCCGAATTTTAGAATGTTTCGATAGTTAAGATACAATGGAATAGTTATTTATAAGATGTACGAGGATCTCGAAAACACTTCTTATTTAATAATGTATATTTATAACTGTTTACAGATCAATAAGTGACAGGTTTTCAATTTTTATATGTTTTAGTCAAAGATTAAGTTATAAAGCATTTTACTGCCGATAACTAAACTTTAACCGGAAAAACTTAACGTAGTGGGCTGATCCTATTAATTGAAACGAAACCTTTGGAGCTAATATTTTATTAGAACTTTTGACTGAGTGCTTTAGATTCAGTTTAAACGTTACCATCTATTGGGCTCTGGATGGCTATTTTGGATTTGGTGGCATGAAACCTTTCCAAATTTCCAAATATTAATAATGTTGTATCAAAAAAGTTTGATGTTTTGATTTCTTTTGAAAATGGGAATAACGTAAGCTTGAGTTTAAGAAGTCTTTTGTCGTTAAAGGGATCGTCACTTGGCGTGGGGCAAACATAAATCAGATTGAAGTTTATGTACATGTTATTCCCAGACCAAGAGTGTGCCACACGGACTCGCAGGAAAGCCCATTACTATAAATTGGTCATTGATTCTGCTGCTAGAATGCCCAGGAATGGTAATCAGTTTGTGTGTGAATCACGGGCCAGATTGCCGGGTAATTGGCCAAAAGTGCTTGCGTGCCCGAAAGTGCCCAAAGAAATTTCAGTGTCAATCAAGCGGCGTTGCCCCATGGGCGCTCGATGGTTCAATATCTGATTTTGAGCGGCTGCAGCTCACAGCCCACAGTTAATTTGCAGATTTTGGCTGACAGATAATTTCCATAGAGCACTTTGTAGGCCCGTCGATAAGCCCGCTCACACCAGATACAGATACAGATCAGGGATCAGTGATCAGTGCAGCGATTAAGGATGCGATTCTTACCATCATGAACTTCTGATCCTCGAACTGATGCTCGTTGGTGCGGTGTAGAATGTGCATTTTGATTTAGATTAGCTGCGACAATATCTATTTAGGTAGAAAGCATAGGTTTGCTTTTGAGATGCAGAACAGGTACGATCACTCAGTTTTCTTATTGAAAATCGATTTATCTTTTTTGGCACTGGTTAAGGCAACAATGGGTGTTTGAGTTGGAGTCACGTATCCGTCGCTATGTACACTAAACACTAAACGATTAATAGATGCGAATCAATTGAGATTGTTATTGTTATTTTTGTTATTATTGTTGTTATTCAAATTGGAATGCAAATTAAAATTCCCGATGGTAATCGATGGTGCGGATCGGTTCGGAACGGCTTTCGGTACGGTTTCGGTGCGGTCTCGGTTCGATTTCGGTTCGGTTAATTAAGTGAGGGACCCGCAATCGAAATTCCGCCTTTGCGCAGCCACCAGACGTAGTTCTCGACTGAAGTTGGATTTTCTGGTTGGACGCAAAAACCTTCAGGGGATGTGCGATGGTGCTGCTGCTGCTGCTGCCGTTGCTGCTGATGCTGATGCTGCTGCTTGTGCTGCTGCTGCTTGTGCTGCTGCTGCTGACTCTGCTGCTGCTGTTTTTCACGCACACAGCGGCGAAATACATAGGAAAAGTGCCCAAAGCCTATGCCCGTTCGCCGGCCCGCTGTATGGGTGAGGCCGCACACAGATACTCGGTGCAAGCAGGTTTTTGGCTCTCGGGCATCGAAGAGAGGATGCCGAAGAGCGAGGCCCGCGCGCAAAGAGAGTCGCGGCGCACAGCCATTTATATTTCGGAAGCCACGCCCCGCCAGCGGACTACTAGACAATGGGCCGAACCCCAGGCTGCGGCAGCGCAGCTTCTGCACATACAGGCAAAGATACAGATACAGCGAAAGATACGGCTGCGGCCAAAGATACGGGCCCGAATACATATGCATGGCACACGCTCGGATACAGATACAGATACAGATACTCGCAGATAGGGGTTGCAAACGGGGGTTGGCGACGTGCCCCGAGGGTGGCTGCGTTGCTACTGGGAAAACCCGGGCATTGGGCATTCGCAGCCACTGCCACAGCCACAGCCACATCTAAATCCATTGCCAGATTGCCAGTGGTACGTGCTCCGGGTTCTTTCTGCTCTGCAGCACTTCCCATGTGCTGGGGGATATGGCTATGTATGTATGTGCCTCCTCCTCCCTCCCCTAAACCCAACCAGGACTTGTCAAAGTTAGGGGTTTTGTGAAATTTACATATTCCTCAAACAGTTCCCGCTCCCCTATATACATATATACAAACGTGTTTCTCAATGCACGCCATAATCAAAACAAACTGAAAATAACAGATTTTCTTTTTGCTTAGCCATAAAACCAATGCGGGGGATGTTACATAATATAACGAAAACATTTGTAGTAAGAATGATAAAAAAGTGCTATATGAACAACAATTGTCCAACATTATTTAAGCCTTCATTTTCCCTAATTACCATATATTAATAGAAGTAAATTCTAATTATTAAATGGGTTTGAAAAGACTATAGTTAGCCTTTCTAAAGGTCATAAAAGTATATCGGAGGTTTGGACAAAATGGGACGACTATAGTGTTAGTTTCTAAATCTTCCTTATTTCTTAAGGTTGTTTTAAATATGTCTTTTAAGATAATTACTGTTTACTTTTACTATTCAAAATGTACTCTGAAATTCTAAAAAATCATATTTTAAATGCGTGGAAACCGACACAAGGAATGATATCTGGTAATGATATTAAAATACATAAGGCAGAAATGCCTCCATCAATGCTTTGTTAACTTCGGCCTTTAATTATTTTACACTCCGTGAATATTCCTTTTATTGCTCTGCACTTGTACATTATTCGATCCCATAAAGTTACTAATATTTACATTAACACTGATTAGTTTCAATAGTTTCCTGACCTATCTTTTATTTTAAAAGGGATAATAATAATAATAATAATAATAATAATAATAATAATAAATAAAACAAATGATACTTTTAAGATCGTGCAATATAGCGGAGATTATTTAAGACTTATAAAACATATTTAGATTTAAAAGCATTTTGGGGTATTACCCAAAACTTTTTAATTAAGATGTTGACGTCGGTTTTCTTAGGCTTTTTTGGTAATTTTTTTAATAGGTACTTAATTAACTAATTTATACCATTTATTTTATTATCTATAAAGTGCATCAAAAAAGTACATTAATTTAGCACCAAATGTGCAGGACATATCTTATAAATTTCGGGGCAATCGATCAAGTCCTTTTTTATTATATTGGAAGTTAAAATAAAACGAAGAAAAATTTAATATATATTCTCAGAGTTATATTTTCTCAGAGTTATATTTTCGAACGAAATTAAATATAAAAAACCTTTATCCTGAATTGATAACTTTAGTAAAGCGAAGTGAACGTATCTTTACTATTATTTAAAACAAATATAATATGCAGTGTTTTAAAGTTGTCAGTAAAAGCCTATTCCCAACCGAATAAACCAAAATGATACTTTCCCGTATGAATTTAAAACAAACAAGAAAGGAAGCTAACTTCGGCACGCCGAAGTTTATATACCCTTGCAGATAGAACTTCTATGAATAAAAACCATACAATACAAATTATATATCTTGTGTTAAAAACAATGAAGTAATACCTGCTTTCATTTCATTCACCTATACATATTATATTTGCAATTTTACATTCACTGATTTGCATTTTCCTCCACATCAAACGATCGTTTGTATGGCACCTACATATATGATATAGTCGTCCGATTTTCATGAAATTTACCACAAAATTTAAGACTTAAACTAAATGCCTATACCTAAAATTTGATGAAAATCAGTTGAAAACTGAAAAGGTTATAAATTTAATTGTATTAATTTCTCGATCGTTCCTATGGGAGCTATATGATATAGTAGTCCGATTTTCATAAAATTTTATGCAAAATTGTAGAGTATAGTAAAATGACTATATCTCAAATTTGATCGAATTCTATTGAAAACTGAAAAAGTTAAAAATTTTTTGTAAAAATTTTCCGATCATTCCTATGGCAGCTATATGATATAGTCGTCCGATCCGGCCCGTTCCGACATATATATGAGTGAAAGTATATAGAAGGCTAACTACAAAGTTTCATTTAGATAGCTTCAAAACTGAGAGACTAGTTTGCGTAGAAACGGACAGACGGACAGACGGACAGAAGGACAGACGGACAGACGGACAGACGGACAGACGGACATGGCTAGATCGACTCGGCTGTTTATCCTGATCAAGAATATATATAATTTATATAGTCGGAGGTGCCTCCTTCACTGCGTTGCAAACTTCTGACTGAAATTATAATACCCTGCAAGGGTATAAAATCAATTTAAATGTGTTAATTTGCTTTGCGAGTGAGCCCAAGGTAGCTCTTAATAAATAAATAAATAAAATTCATATTTCGCAGTTCCTGGGAGTATCTCTGAGGCCTTCTAAACGTTTTTATTAATTAGTACAAATCCAGTTGTGTCTGTCTTTGTTTCTTTGGTTACACAATTAATCTAGGGAATAAACGCGTTTAGGGTTTAGCAGCTGTGGAAAATTGAATCACTTGCTTTTGCGCTGAGCCTGAGCTTTGAATGTTTGCATCCCCCAAATTGAATTACGCCATTAGCTTTCCAAGTGACTCAAATGGACTTGAGCTCCTACCTACCCTTTGAGGCCAGGGAAAAGGGACCTGGATCTGGAAAGGGTAACGAATTTCGGTAGGGTTTCCCCTGAACCAACAAAGCAGCTCCTATTATTTGGTACGAATTTGTAAGAGGGCAAAATAAAGATATGTATCCGTGATCATGTCGACTGCACATACACATTATATGTACATACAAAAACGGCAGCTCACGAAGCTACCTCGTAGGAACCGTAAATTTCGTGTGGTGGAAGCGGTGATCAGGTGCATTATCCAATTGCGGCGGTGGAATTCGACGACCCACCTCCATTTCAGCGATTTCATTGCGGCGGCACGATTTTTGATTGCGGCCACGACAAGAGATCGATCGACCGATGATCGGTCCGCCATTTTTTGCTGCGATTCGGAACCGATACCGATACTGATGCACTGCTCGCATTACCAATTAATTTCCAATCCTCCCCGCAGCATTGCCATAAATCGTGATGCACAGTGGTCCTCGTGCTCATGGTAAAAGCGCCCAAGTACACCTCTGTGCAACTACCAACTACCAACTTGCAACTACCGACACCACACCTACACTGCGCCACATCCACAGCCACATCCACATCCACATCCACATCCCCAACCCATACACGTGCACTCCCGAAAATGGCAGCTTTCTTTGAGCCAGTCATAAGCTGGCTCTAAAGACTGGGGCCCGAGTACCTTAAGAGCAGGCAAGCTGCAAGCCAGAGCTGCAGCTTGGAACCCGGTACCCGGTACCCGGTACCCGGCCCGAGCACCTCATTTAAGATGCGTCTTAAATGCGATCGCCTCGGGAGAAACTCGTGAATGCCGCAGGACTTGCATGACTACTGCCCCGACTGTTGGCCCGACTCTTGGCCCGACTGTTGTCTTCTGGCCCCAGCCTGCCAATCTGTGGCGACTCCTTTATCGGGCCGCTGCTCTTGGGTCTCCTCAGTCCGCGTTCGCGGCCTCAGACAAGTGCATTCCACATGCAAATCACAATCAGCGTCGGAGTAGTGATTTCCAAAAAACCTAAGCAACCGATCTGCGGACCAAAAATAATGCAGCTTAATTACAACAGCACCACAGAGGGAGAAAGCAATGATAGTTTTATTCCAACAACAGAGCAGTTTCCCTTATAAGGGTGTTCCTATCAGCTTACCCAAAGAGTACTTAATAAGGATATAAATATTATCTGAATACATGAAATTCATTGATCGAATAAAGTATAGTTTAAATATAAAGAATACATTAGGCATAGTCTTTAAATCTTTTTAAGGCTTTTTGTTTCAATCTCTTATTAAAAACCATCAAAACCTAACAAAATATCGTACTTGTATTTACTTTTTATTTGTTTAGAGTATTAATATATTTGTTATTAGCTTAGCAAGGTAAACTTTTGTTGTCAGTGTATTTATACTAAGTAGCATGGTTTTCTTTTATATAAATTACTTATTAAAATCATTTTAATAAACTATACCCAAAGAGACTAAATAGTTTTGGTATCTTTTCGAGTAGTATTATAGGAAGTACCATAAAATGTAATA